CCCCTCGGGACACTCTGCCAGACCCGAGGGGACACAGCTGCTGAGTCCCATCAGTGAGCACAAGACGCAGCCCTCAGGACCAGACATCTTTGTTTTTTGTTTTTTGGGCTTTTTTATTATGTTATGTTAGTCACCATACACTTCTTAGAATGGTTCTCACTAATGAGCTGCTTTTTTAGCGGAAGGTAGTTCCACAGGCCACCTTTTGGTCCTGGGCACACATGTCACCCCGGTCCAAAGCCCTGAGAGTCCAGCTGGGGTCTGCATCTCACTGGGTCTGATTTCTAGATACGATGGTCCTTCAGGCCTGCTGATGATATTGTTGAGTCTCACTCTCAGAAAGAGTCCTGGTCTATGGGAATGTAAACACATGCATATATTATGTGATATTTAATTAAAGAAACATTTCTTTTGAATGGAGGTCAGAGACCAATAGGGGGAGCCCTCGTGCCCACCACTCCTCAATTGCAGACCACGCAGGAGGACAGACTTTGCAAGTCTGCAAGCCTGAAGCTAGTTCCTTACTCCCTCAGGAAGAGGAAGGCTTCTTCCTGCCCTGGCACCAGCCCACCCAATGAGAAATTGTCACAACATAACCAATGACAAGCCCTGTAATTAGAATTCCCTTTTACTCCCATGGACTTTTTGTCCCTCCCACACTTAGCCTTTGCTCCATAAAAGAGCTTCCTGATCCTTTGTTCCCTACACTTGCCTGTGGTTTTGCCATACCTTACCTGTCCTGGCTTTCAAGTTTTTGCTTTTCTTCTATAAACCCATTATCACTGGGGAAAATGAATGCCACATTTGTATTAAGTGTTCAGAAAAACAACTGAAGTGCTCAGTGACGCCCACAGGAGATTCTAGAAAAAACTGAAGGACCCCTATGTGCAACACCTGATGTCACACACCAGGGGACAGTGGATTTGGTTTGTTTGTTTCCTCGTTTGAATGTCCTGCAAGGGTTCCTCACTTACTTACAATCACGGATCATCATTATCATCATCATCATCATCCATTCTTTATAACTGCATGGTTAGTCCCATTCACCTCACTAACCCACCCCCCCACCATTTCCCCATGTTGCTTCCTCTCCACTTGAACCCCTGGCTGCCTGTGGCTGCGGCTGCACGTGGCCATGCTGACTGCTCCCCTGTGTGTGAGACCCCCTCGGGGGTGTCCCTAGTTCAGACACTCTGTGATCCTTCACTTCTCACATCCCTCTCTGTAATGCATGGGTATGTCTTTCTGTTCCTGCAATATATGGTCAAGCTTCCCTCAGTTTCCTTGAAGTTAGGAAATATCTTCCATCCAGAACCCAAACAGGAAAATAGAAGCTAAAACATGAGCTACATGAAATCACCTACGATCTGTTGACATGTTTATACTGTGTTTTCTTATTCAAGACAAAACTCAGATGTTCATCATGTTTCAGATGTGCTTTCATATTCTTCAGGGAACTTTATGATTTCCTTTAACATACAGATTGCGCACATCTCAGGATGTTTCCTCTCAGGGTAACAGCAGTCGACTGGTCTTTAGGGTGAGCCTGTTTCAAGCTTATGCACTCCGTGTTTGCTGACCTAAGTCCCTTGGTCCATAGCAGATCTACCTGAATTTCCTTGACATTTGTAGACTGCTGGCTTGAAGGAGTTAACACCTGACCACATTGCCCGATGTCAAGGATGCCAGCAAGTCTGTTCGGGGTCATGTCCACACAGGACTGACAGCCTGACCACCTGGTTCTCCTGCACAGAGCCCGCACCCTCACCTGCACCTCCCCCTGTAACATCCTCGGGAGGCACCTGGATGGGGAAGGTGGTCTTTGAGGTGTTTGTCCACCATTGTCGTGGGTCCTAGGCGAGAGGTGTCTTTGGGCTGTGCTTTTCATCTCTGAAGGACCCTGCTGATGCACACTGTCCACCAGGGGTTACAATACCAAGGAGTCCCATCAGTGGGTCCGTGTGAGCAGAAAAAGCTAGGGTCCCCAGGAGAAAAAAACAAAACCAAAAACAGATGGGCTACAGCTTTCCTGACACAAGAGAAGTCATTTTGGGCCCCCAGCTAGTTCCTGTGATCTCTGCCCTTGTGTCTCTACTTTCCCAGCACACATCTTGCAGATCTTCCTAAGAGGTGTCAGAAATAAGAAGAAATGAAAACTAACAAACAAAACAGAACAGAAAAACTCCAGTAGTTAAAGATTTAAGGGAACAAAGGGAATGCAATATGGGCAGGCTCTACCAGGCCAGGAACAGTTTATCTAACCACATCAGAGATAATGAATCAATCAGTGGTGAACCCCCCAGTGCTATTTTCAAGGAAACCAGGCCCTGCATACCTTGCCCCATATAAGGAGCTCAAACCCTTTCCAATTTATCCTGGCTCTGGGAGCAGGTCCCTAGCCCCGTCCCCTTGTGGGGCAGCCACCTCGGCTTCACTATACTGTTCAAGTCTCTGCACTAGGAGGAGCAGGGAGAAAGTGAAACAAGGAAGAGTAGGAGAAGTGAAGAGCATCTAAAGCAGACAGAAAGGACCCCCTCTGTCGAATTCATTGCCGGTTCCCAGCACAGAGCCCCTGCCCCTCCAGAGGGGAGCTGTCTGAGGAAACTGCAAGATGTGCCGGAATGACTGACTGAGGGCATGAGGAAGCTGGACAGGCACAGAGAACCTGCAAGATTGATCCAGTCACTGGGACACCTGGGTGGCTCAGTCGGTTCAGCGTCTGTTTTCTCTTCAGGTCCTGATCCCAGAGTCCTGGGATCGAGCCCCTCTGCCCCTGCCACCGCTCATGCTTGCTCTCTCTCTCTCACTCTTTCTCTCTCTCTTTCAAATAAATAAATAAAATCTCTTTTAGAAAAAGAAAAAATAGAGAATATTATTAGGAACTATTCCACAAGAAGGCATGAGATGAGATTAGCTTCACAAGAAAAAATAACACACTTTCAGAGAGCAGAAAATTTTATTTGTTTGCTTCATATATATGTTATTGAAAAGCACTGAAAAACAATAGAAAATTTAAATTCATTTTTTTTTTTACACATTTAAGTAGGATCCATGCCCACTGTGGGGCTTGAACTCACGACTCTGAGATCTAGAGTTGCACGCTCAACAGACTAAGCCAGCCAGGTGCCCCCAGAAAAGTTAAATTCTTATAGAAAGAAAATGTAATACTGATACATCTGAAAAATATTATACAAGAAAAGGGAATTTGCAGGTCAGTATTAAGACATATTTTATGAATGATCTAAATACAACATCTACAGTGTGACTCCAATCTCACATCCATATGTTCATACGCCATTACCATTTGTGATTTACTGCAGGCATACAAGATGAATTCCACGGTAAAAAATTATTTTATATAAGATATCCTATTAATAAAGCAATAAATGAAAATCACATTATCTCGCTAGATCTTGACACTCTCTTTGAGCAAATGGAAAGCAAAGTCCTAACAAAAACTACATAAAGTAGAAACAGACAGACACATTTGACCCATGGTAACACACTCTCTCCCACACACCTAGAACTCAGTCCCCCAGACAGGAAGTTAGCTACTGTGGTGAGGGGGAGGACCTTTCTACAAGAACAGGAACAGGCATAAGTGGCCTTAACTCCATGATTATTCAACATCTTTCTGCAAGTAATAGACAATGAAAGTGACCAAGAAAAGTCACTGGTTCGCTCTCAGCATTGATGGGAATAAAAAGGGAGTCATCCTAAAAGACCCAAATATATGATTCCTCAATATTCCCCTATTGGTGAAGCAGGGACAGAAGAAATCAGCCCACAGAGCACAAAGAACAGACATTCCTATGGAAGACTAATAGGATTACATGGGTCTGGAAACTTGTAGAAATAGGTAAATGATCACGAATGGAGACCCCAGATTCCTCACAGTTCAGGGGGGAGATGAGCACCCTGGACCAGCTACCCCCAGTCCATGAACCTCAGTGTAGAGACCCTGTGTGTCAACCTAATGGGGGAGATGACCTTTCTGTGTCCTTGGGAGACCCTTTGTCTAGGGAGAGGCCGCTGTGAGTGAAGGTGGGGACAGGAGGAAAGGAGGAGCCCTCACCCCCAGGAGATGTCCTTGCATGGACTTGGCCACATGATGACGGCAGCCGGAGCACCAGAAGCAGAAGCCACAGGAAGAGCCTGGGCAGCCGCCGGGCCTCCCCCTCCTGGCCGATGAGAAAGGGGCAATGGTCGCAATTTCCACAGGCCTGGAGTCTGTGTGATCCCTGAGATGCTGTCCCAGGAGGGGCAGTGAGGAGCAGACTGTCCTCAGACCTCAGCCCAGTGATGGTGAGGGAGCCAGAGCTGTAAGACATGGAAGCAAAGAAAGGATCAGAGTCCCCAGAGGGACTCACATCATAATAGTTGTGTATTTGGGACCCCATATATGGGAGCTGTTGGTACTGGACACGTATCGGACACTCCCGACGTGTCGGGACTCTCACTTAGCTAGACTGTGTTTTGCAGGCTTTTTCCCAACTCATGATGGACTCTGTCCACTGGCCATCCTGTCATGGTACCCAGAAATTTTTGCTCAATTTGAGAAAACGACAAAATCTCTGGATGCCAAGGACAGGGTTCAGGGACAAATGTAAAAGAATGTGAAATGAATTCGCGGACACATTCCCTCAGATGGATCTCAGGGCCTAGGTTGTACCAAAGCAAGCAAGCAAGCAAACAAGCAAGCAAGCAGTTGGCTTGGCCAGGAAATAGGGCTGAATGGGGAACCCCGTTGCTGTGGGGACAGCACGTCTCTGTTGCTTCCACACAGCCCGGGAGCACAGTGTGAGGATGGAGTCCACTGTCATAGGGCGGGCAGGAGTAATCAGCCTCGTCCTCAGCCTCAAGCCCAGCGATGGTCAGGGAGCCTCAGGTGCCAGACCTGGAGCCAGAGAATTGAACGGGGATCCCCAAAGATTGATTACTGTGACCATAAAAGAGGAGATTGGGGGCTGCTCCTCAGAGCTGTTGGCACTAAAGTGGTACTAAAGAGCATAACCCCTGGGGTTGGAGCTGCTTCCAGTGCAGGAGATGGTGACCCTCTGGCCCAGGGCCCCAGACACGGAGGGCGGCTGAGTCAGCACAGACTGAGCCCAGGACCCTGCAAGGGGGAGAGACACAGACAGGGTGATGCTGGGGTCTGGAGACAATAGAAGAAAGTTGTAGTAGGTTTTTGGGAAAGGAACCTAGAAAGGAATTGTATGTGTGGTCAATACTCGTTAAAATTAAGATAAATTTAAATAAATAAGTGAGCTTTAAAATCAAACTATGTGGATGCAAAATTAGAATTCTGCTTTAACTTGGTTAAAAAGTCAAGTTTTTCTTGAATTATTAGTCCGCTTTTACAAATGATTAGTCTGCTTTTACCCAGGCAGCCTGGCCCTGGCACCCAGGAGTTTCTCCTCAGTATGAGAGAACCAAACAATATCTTCCTGCTTAGGAGAGGCTGAAGAGGGTGAATTTAAGAGAATTTGGAATATTTTGTAGCCAATGTTCCTTGAGATTAGTTCAGACTACAGTGTAGACCAAAAAAGGAAGGAGCTGACTTGGCCAAGGAGGGGGAGCTGCACGGGACCCGTTGCTGAGGGACAGCAGGTTTTTGTCTCACTTCCCCACAGGCCGGGAGCACTGTGTGAGCACTGAGACTATCATCCCATGATGCACAATAATACTCAGCCTCGTCCTCAACCTGGAGCCCAGTGATGGTCAAGGTGCCTGAGCTGCCAGACTTGGAGCCAGAGAATCGTTCAGGGACCCCTGAGGGTCGCTTGCTGTTACCATAGATGACGGTTCTGGGGGCTTTTCCTGGGAGCTGTTGGATCCAGCTCACCGAATTACCACCCCCGATGTTGGAGCTGCTTCCAGTGCAGGAGATGGTGACCGTCTGGCTCAGGGCCCGAGAAACGGAGGACGGCTGAGTCAGCACAGACTGGGCCCAGGACCCTGCAAGGGGGAAAAGCACAGAGAGGGTGATGCTGGGGTTTTGAGACAAGAGGAGGAAGCCAGGCCCATGTGTCCTCCCAGGGCCCCTTCCCCTGTCCCTGCATCCACTCACCTGTGCAGTGAGCGAGGAGGCTGAGAAGGAGAGGAGACCAGGCCATGGTGGAGGTCATCACCGATCCTGCCTTCTGTGGTCCCACAGCTGTGCAGAGCCTCCCCTCATCTCTCCCTCCCCCTCTTCATCCTCTGAGAGCAGGAGGGCCCGGCCATGCAAATGAGACACCAGTTCTCTGACCCCTCCCTGCCCCAGGGTCATGTCCCTCTGCCTGTGGCTGTCAAGGACCTGGCAGGGGAGGGGCTGTGAGGGGCCAGGGGATGGGGAGGTCCCAGCTGCAAGCGCTGAGCAGGGGGCACAGGCAGGGCCAGGTGTCAGATCCCAGCTATGATCACCGCTGACTCCTCAGAAATGGGACTAGAGTGCCCCCTGGTGTCCAGACCCAGACACATCATTGTGTGACAAGGTGGCCAGGACCCATCAGACCCATCTCTGCACATCCCCTTCAACTGCTTTGTCCACTGCTCCTTGCATTAGGGCCTGACCAGGTGTTCCTATATATCACTTCCCCTTAAGTCAGGACTCTTAGATGCCCTGCTAAGAGTCTTCAGAATGAGTCTGTACATGGCTCCCTTCTCTGTTCCTGGGTCAGGACTGGGGTGGTGTCTCTAACAAACTCTTAGAGATCAGGGTCCAGAGTAGTGATGGGTCCCCATGGATACAGGGTCGCTTCTGTGCAGGATGCTGGGACTTTCCTCGTATGTGCTTTCTCCCTGATTTCCAGAGCTCTCCTTCCTCTGAGGTCCCCACAGCACTGAGGAGACAGGGAATGATTCTCTCCAGACTGTGGGTAGAAGCTGTCCTGTGCATTCCTAGAGGGTTGCATACTGAACATCTTTGTCTCCTGCCACTGTGTCAAACAGCTTGAAACAACAGTTGTCCACACACTGGGCAGGGATTCCCTCCCCGGTTCCGTCCTCCCAGCACAGACACAAGTCTGCAGGCGCCCTGCCACGTGAGTGTGTGCCGCCCTGACCTCAGAGCACAAAGGACAAACGTGCTGGAAGTTCTAGCAGGGAAGGAGTGACAGCTTAGATGCTCTCACAGGAACCTAGTGACAGAGTTTATGTGTCAGTTACCACGGACCCAACGTCATATTTAAGAAGAATGTGTGTTATTTTAAGCATAATTCCATTCAGTAAGATTGAATTAATGGAACAGGAATGCTTCTTTTCTCAGGAGAATAGGGTTTTATATACTTTTTCTAAAATCACTTATTTGTACCATGTGTCTGGTCTCCCAGGTAGGAAAGGTCAACGTGGTTCCCAGTAAAACCCCTTGAGGGGCCTGTTCCTATGAACTCAGAACCATCCTGCTGACAAAATTGCCAAACACAGACAGAACTTCTAGGACAAAGGATTTGGGGTCAGACCACGCCCTGGGTTGGACACAGCTCTAGTCCCTGCAACTGTGTCCAGCACGTTCAGGATGGAAGCGTTATTCATTCAGTGAACAATGACTACAGGAATGGATTTTACTACCCAAAGCCTACTGGACACAGAAGTTTCTGTCAAATATCCCAAAGCTGAGGGGGGGAGAAGTGGAGATAAGGGGGAGTGTGTCCCTAGGGTCACATGCCCTGTGGCCCTGATTTGGGACAGAAGACATTCCGTCAGAGTGCAGCATGGCTGGAAGTGTCACTGGGGAGTGACTGAAGGACTGACAGCCCCGCCCTGAGAACACAGGGAACATGTGTCACTTGTCCACAAGGATTTTGAGTTCTGAGGCTGGGATCCGAGAATCAACATACTGAGTAGCCTCAGCCACTGACTGCATCCCACAGATGGTCAGGGGCTGAGCTGCCCATGGGGACAGGGACACCCCTCTGGGATTCCTGAGCTTCAGTCTCATCCCAGGAGGGCAGATGTTCAGAGCCCATCCTGGCTGCCCTGGGGACAGGACCCCAGTCACACTAGATGTCTCCAGTTTTCCTATGGAGGAGGATTCTGCCTTCTGGAAATTGTGACCCTGAGGATGGCTGGGTGAGCACAGGATGACTCGAACTTCTGGGAAGGACAGAGAAGCCTGGAATCCACAGAGGCCCAGGCACACTATTCACTCAGAGGGAGGAGAGGGGGGTGTGTGTGTATGTGTGTGTGTGTATGTGTGTGTGTGTGTGTCCAAAACTGAGGCTACCTGAGCCCTGTCCCTCTTATGACTTTGAAATACCCTGAGGGATGTTTTTCCTGGGATTCTGTTTATATATTTCCTGCATCCTGACCCTGAATTTAGAGGTAAGGATCTCAAAGAATTTTACTGGAAAAGGACTTATTTAGGCCAGGAGGGCTCATGTGAGAGCACATCTGTTCACCATTCACTGAATCAAGAGTCCAGGTCCTGTTGAGTGATAAGAAGTCTGTCAATTTTTTATCTCTGCAGACACAAGACCTACAACTGTGGGGTTTTCAGGTGTCTGGAAGCACAGGGTGGGGGGGGAGCATGCAGCCCCCTCCTTCTTGCCCTGACATCCCAGCCAGAACCACAGTCCCCCGTGTCCCCAGGGGTCTACCAGGGAGTGAGAACAAGATATTGCTGATGGTTTTGTGCGTGTGTGAATAAACACTACAGCCCTGGGCTTTAAATATCATAGAAAACTGGTTCTTGGTGAATCCTCTCCAGGGCATTGGAGCATAAAAAAAATAATGACATATCTTAAAATATGCAGGCCATCCTTTGTCTCTGGAGTCCTCTAAGAATCCCCATGGCATCAGTTTATTCTGAAGGGGAGAAAAATCAATAGACTCATGTGCAAATACCTAAAGGTAGATAAATACATTCTTTTCAGGAAATGTAATAACTTTATTTTCATATTAAAGAGAATGACTGGGGGATGCGTGGGGGGCAATGTGGATTGAGTGTCTGACTATTGCTTTGGCTCTGCTCCTAATCTCAGGGTCCTGAGGGGTACCCGGGTGTCTCAGGCACTTAAACCTCTGCCTTCAGCTCAGGTCATGATCTCAGGGTCCTGAGCTCTAGCCCCGCATAGAGTTCCACACTGAGCACAGAGTCTGCTTAAGACTCTCTCTCTCCCTCTGCTTCTCCCTGCTGTGCCCTCTCATCCAAATAATTGAAGAAACCTCTAAAATAAATAAAGAGACTGACTGGGATTGTTGAGAACAGAAAAATGGAGCCTGGGTCTGAGAGCAGGAAGGAGAATATGAAGGGTTGCATGCACCTATATTTTCTGGTCATTCTCCTGCCCAGAAATGGGTCCTGGAGACTGGAAACTACAGCAAGGTCATTTCCAGTTTTCTCTGAAATCCTGATGTGGAGACAGAGCTCAGACTGAAAAGCCAGAGGGAGAGACTGAAGCCTGAGGGACACGAGAGCCAAGAGAAGAAGAGGAGGAGGGTGTGGGGGCTGTCGTCAGGATCTGGTCCAAGTTCTCGTGTAGCTCGTTCAGAGAGAGGAGACTGTGTCTGTGGCCAGGGTCATTGTCAATGTATCAGCTGTGGATACATCAGTCGTGACACAAGGTCACACTTTATGGAATAAGATGATAGAACGGATTATGGAGGAATGTTCGCTGGGCAGTATGTTCAGCTGTAGACTCAGAATTCATTGCTGTACATCTTCTCCAGATTGAGTGGGGGTGTGCAGATGGGCTCAGATATCTCATGTGTCTGTGCCTTCCTCGGATGCCCCCATTTTCTGTCACTTTCCGTGCATTACATGACTCTTCCTCGTTCCCTCTTGAAGGATAGATCGTCGTCCAGAAGAGACCACCTTGCTATGTCTCTCCAGGTAAGTTTCTTACTGAAAAGAGGCTCAGAAACAAGATCCGTGGGTCCAGAGGTTTTAGACCCACTTCCTCCATATCTGAGACGCTGTGAGGAGCGATACCTGCTCCCAGCGCCCTGAGCTGCAGCCCAGTGATAGTCCGCCTCGGTCTCAGCCTGCAGCCCCGAGATGCGCAGAAGCCCCGCATTGGCCGAGGCGTCTTTGGAGCCCGAGAAGCGGCTGGGGACCCCGGAGCCCTGGTGCTTATCGGAGTCTGAGGAGTAGTACAGGTGATCCCGGGGAGGGCTCCATGGCTGCTGCTGGATCCAGTATATATTAGAGCCGCCAACACTGATGTCCCTGCTCAGGGTGCAGATGAGTCTGTCTGTCGTTCCCGGAGATGCCAAGAGGGAGGGCGGCTGGGTCAGCACGGCCTGGGACAGGGAGCCTGCAAACACAGACGTTAATGAGGCAAGAAACGGAGAAATTTATCAAGATGCCCACTTCAGGAAGAGTGACTTTGAGGGCTGCAGCTTTGAGCTTCCCTGAGACCTGCACATACCTGTACAATAGGAGAGGAACATAAGGAAGATAGGCGTCCAGGCCATGGTGACACAGACACTGGACCCCACAGTGGGCCAGGCTGCCCCAGGCCTCCTTTTCTCCTCCACCCTCTGCCACAGGAGGGGCTCTCCATGCAAACGGGGTCCACCCAGTGACTGCCCAGACCCTCCCTGAGCCCTTGTGCTGGGACTCGGCTCACAGGCACACTGAGGAGGATGGGAGTGGCTTCAGCCCTGGGGAGAGCCCTGGGAGGATGTACCTGCTGAGACCACACACGGGTCCCTGCTCAGGGGACTCTGCCAGGCAAGAGGGGACCCAGCTGCTGAGTCCCCAACAGAGAGCACAGGGCCAGTGCCCAGTTCATTTCTCTTGAGTGAATGCTCCTCACTGAGCTGACATGTAGAGACCACAGGTCAGTCCCACCGCACCCCCTGCTGGTCACGGGCGCAGCCGTCACTGTGTCCCAAAGCCCTGAGAGCCCCACTGATTTCTGCAGCTCCCAACATCCCTGTGGATCCACACTTCCGTGGACCAAGTGTCAGTACAGGTTTCCCCTGCTGTCTGAAACTCCATCATCCCTAAGAAACTTAGTAAGCCACGATGGCATAAGGCGAGAAGCAATTAATATTAATTTATATGCACAATTTTTTTTTTGCATGTTTCCAGGCTTAAAAAGAAATCAGTCCTAGGCTCCTTGGATACCCAAGGACACATTTGGCCGTCAGATGTAGAATACGAATGGCGATAAAGCGCATGTGATAACACACCGTTCACAGCCGCGGTGGCCTGTGGCTGAGATGCTGGGTGTGACTCCCGGGGAAGCCGCTGGAAGGCGCCCGTCATGCTGGTTGGGTTGTGCACCGTCTCTGGAGAGGCTCCTGCAAAACTCATGCTGGATGCTAACTAAGTTGGCGCTTATTTTTTTGTGAAACTGAAAATCCTCTTCAGATGGCTTTGAGCAGTAAAAGCAGCTACTAATGTAAATATTTCATAAAAGCAAAGAGGTGTAAAGAGAGCTTTCAAAAGTTCGGGATACCTATACTATGTTTCTGATCTTTGTCCCAATTTACTGTAATTTCTCACTCCAGAGGGAGCCGTGGTCCATGCGAGGTGAAAATATGTGCATATACAATTACAGGACTTTCTAGACAAAGCTTTATGTCCCAGATGCGCAGGGGGGCACGTGTGTCGCCGAGGAGGGGACAGTGGAGCTGCTTAGCAGAAGTTGTAGAGGCTGCTTCTGGGAAAGGCATAGAAACAGAATTTTGGGGACACCTGGGTGGCTCAGTCAGTTGAGCGTCTGCCTTCGGCTCAGGTCATGAGCCCAGAGTCCTGGGATCGAGTCCCACGTCAGTCTCCCTGCTCAGCGAGGAGCCTGCTTCTCCCTCTGCCTGCCACTGCCCCTGCTTGTGCTTTCTCTCTCTCTCCCTAAGAAATAAATAAAATCTAAAAAAAAGAAAGAATTTTGTAAGGATACACTCACTCAGTGGCCTAATGTTTCCCAGCGTTCACTGTTGGTTCACACCTGGTACATCCTTACAGTGAGCCTGACATCGGTGTTGCCACATTAGTAGAGTCTCCGGGAACATCCCATAACCCCCAGTGCACAGGCCCTGGCATTGGACGTCTGCATTTGTCACGAGACTAATATAATTTCAACAAAAATGGGTCCACTGTTCATGCCTCCCACTCTAGGTTTTCGTTTTCCCTTTTTGGTTAACCTCGGAATTCATTATTTCCTGTGTCTCTCTGACATACTTACGATTAATTTTCCTTTACATTAGCCCAGGTTTGTAACTGTTCTCAGTATGAGCATTAATATAAACCCTTACACTGTACAACCGACCTCCCTCTTCTTGGAATTTCTTTCTCAACTCCTGCATCAAGGGGCCCCCAGGACAAGGTATCCCACCCACATTTAGGCTTCATCCTGTTTACCTGGTAAGTGTCCCATGGACTGGCGGTAACCAAAAAACAGAATTTTCTCGATTTTTGTCTATAATATGAGGGCTTTCTATGACAATGAAGGTTGAATTCCTAGGCTCTGTTCTCCTAAATACTGCGATGCATCTCAGCATCACTCCAACTGAAAAGGCAGAGGAAAACCAAAGAGAGAAAAAGACTGTGAAACATGAGATTAAACATACTGGTCTCACCACAGCTGATTACGTCTGCAACAACAGCATTTCCCAATACAGTCAGCTCCTGAAATACAAGATTTTTTTAGAACTTTTATCACATGGATTGATAAAGATACAGTTCAACCCATAATGATTAACAACCATGGTTTATTCAGATTTTCTCAATTTTTACCTAATATCCCTTTGCTGTTCTAAGATCCAGTTCAGGATCATTATGGCATTTAGTTGTGATGGCTCCTTAAGCTTCTCTCACTGTGATACTTTCTCAGATTCCCCTTGTTTTAGTGACTTCATCCACACTTACTGAGCGGGAATCATGCCTGACATTCTTCGGGCTAAGTGTTTGCACCTGTTACTTGAAATCTCTGTACTGGAATGTGTCTCTTCCTCCATTTATTCATTTATTCAACCATTTCACAATAGGGACTGTGGACAATTATTTTAAATTTTGAGTAAGAAGCTAATACTGTCACATTTATTCGGTTGCTCAAATCTTTCCAGTTTTGCCCAATGGGGGCATTTTAAGTGTCTCACGAGCTCCTGGACACACCCCGTCACTGTGTGTGTGGGCTGGGCCTGCACTGATGTGCTTGTGTTTATTCTGAAGGATTCTACACTTTCTGACACTAGAAGTCGCCCCAAGCTCATCCATGTAATTCCTGGTCTGGGGACTAAGCCTCTCTGCAAAGCAGCCTGCATCCTTTCCCAGAGAACGGTACTAGGAAGCACTATTTGGGGGAATGCACTCAGGGCTCTGGGCATCCCAGCGTGTACTTCCGCCCCGCTGACAGACCGAGGGCTTCTATATGACAGTCACTCACCCAGGACCCTGCACACAGCGCTGACTGTCTCGACAGGCAATTAACTGTCCCTATCAAACTACACACGATTCCAAACCGCCCTCCCCAGCTCGAACCCATGAGCTCACGCTTCACCCTGGGTTCTATCTGCGACTTTCCAGTCCTACCGGGAGAAATCGGGCTCCCCAGGGCCCATCCACTGACTTGACTGCTCAATTCCAGGACACAGTGCAGGCCCCTCAAAATAACCCACCTGTTTCCGCGGGACACAACCCTGTCTACTGGAGCACAGAGCCCACGGGCAGTCGCTTCTGACTTTGCCCTGACGGGCTCCGCTCCTTTGCACGGTCACTCGGCCCAGCGGCTCTGCCCCGAGCCCGGCCCTGAGCTGGGCTCACACGTCTGTCCGGCAGGTGCGGGGGTTTGTCCGCATTCCACCCCGGGCCCCGACCCTCCCTAAGGAGTTTTATCTGCAACCGTCGGTTCTGTCATGTGGCTGCACGGGGTTCAGTGAACTCTGACGGAGTCATCGTGTCATTTCACTGCCATTACAGTGTCACAGAGAATCCTTCTCTTGCTCAGAAACGTTTTCCTCCGTTCACATGATCAAGTCTTTTGTCTCTTTTCTCCTTCCAGAAACTGCAGGTGTTTGCGCTCTCTCCAGAGTGTTGCCTCTTCCCAAAAGTGATATAACTTTAACTGTACTATGTATTATTTCCCATTTTAGAAACGTGCTGCCTATTTGGTGGCATCTCAGTTCGGGTCCATGTTTGGTGATTAGATACAAACCTGGACTAAATCTCTATGGACAGACTTCCGGTCACTTTCAGTTTTAGTGATTATGAATGAAACTGGTACAAACATTATGTGCAGGTTTTTCCTATGGAGGAAAGTTTTGGGATTCCTTTATAGTTTTATAATTCTAAGTGAGTGTCTATTTCTCAAAAAAATCAGGAAATTAGACAAAACTAGGCAGCAGCACCATTTATAGCCACGCAGATAATAATTTCTGATGCAACAGGACTGAGTTATTCTTCAAGCGCCACATGGGGAGTGCTGAGATCCCACGATCTGTTCAGAGACAAAATAAAATGTTGGATTTGTTTTAAAATCAGAAGGAAAGAGTTAATATGATGTGGCCTAGAAGTTAAATACCCCCAGTTGATGAAAAGAGAACTTTCTGTTTACATGAAGACTCCTTGTCTGGGAATGGGCTGCCCCAAGTGACTCTGAGGACAGAAGGGACAGGACGGACCTCGCCCTTAAACGGTGCCCCTGGATGGACCTGGTCCCAGGGCGTCAGCAAAAGAATAAGCAGAATCACAGGCTACGCTGGTGTGTGTCCTCCTCTTTACAGAGGAGTTAGTGGGTTTTTGTCTCACTTACCCTCAGGCCGGGAGCACTGTGTGAGCACTGAGACTGTCATCCCACGATGCAAAATAATACTCAGCCTCGTCCTCAGCCTAGAGCCCAGTGATGGTCAGGGTGCCTGAGTTGCCAGACGTGGAGCCAGAGAATCGTTCGGGGACCCCCGAGGGTCTGCTATCATCCCAATAGATAACGGTTTTAGGGGACTTTCCTGGGAGCTGTTGGTACCAGTTAACACCATTACCACCCCCAATGTTGGAGCTGCTTCCAGTGCAGGAGATGGTGACCGTCTTGCCCAGGGCCCCAGACACGGAGGGCGGCTGAGTCAGCACAGACTGGGCCCAGGACCCTGCAAGGGGGAGAGACACAGACAGGGTGATGCTGGGGTCTTGAGACAAGAGGAGACACAGGGCCCCACATGTCCTCCCAGGGCCCCTTCCCCTGTCCCTGCATCCAGTCACCTGTGCAGTGAGCGAGGAGGCTGAGGATGAGAGGGGACCAGGCCATGGTGGAGGTCATCACCGATCCTGCCTTCTGTGGCCCCACAGCTGAGCAGAGCCTCCCCTACTCTCTCCCTTCCCCTCTTCATCCTCTGAGAGAGGGAGGGCCTGTCCATGCAAATGAGACCCCCAGCTCTCTGACCCCTCATTGGCCCTGGGTCAGGTCCCTCTGCCTGAGGATGTGAGAGGGGGTGGGCAGAGGAGGGACTGTGTGTGCCCAGGGGTGGGGAGGTCC